TACATTTTACGCTTACTTTATATAATAAACAAATACATTAAACAATTTATGTGCAACTATAAAAATAAAATTGGAAACTAAATTGACTGAAACTTTAACACAAAATGTATCACATGCAAGAATATAAAATAATATAAAACAGATAACATTAGAATTCAGAATAACAGAAAACTTGTTTGTAAATGAACCGTTAATTTGCATTTAGTGTTTCATTCAACATTTAAGGTATAATAATAATTAATAACAAAAATAGTTTAAAATTGTATGACACGATAAATATTACCTTAAATAAATGTCATTGTACTTTTTTTTTTTTTTTAAATATTTCGTAAATTTTAGTGGTAATTGGTTTTTTAATTATTATTTTTCTACAACAACATCTAATAAAAAAAACTATCACTAATTTTTAACTTTACAACATTTAAAAAAATTTTATTATTAAAATTTATGACTAATTATTTAGCAAAATTATTAAGTGGTCGAAAATTAATAGTTATAATTTACTTAATTTACTATTAATAATATTTATAGTAAACAATTATTTTTATCTTTAAAGCTATACATTAAAAAAGGTATTAGTATAAAATTAAGTACACCGATTTTTCGAGTCAATTAATTGAGCTTTTGATCTAATATTATAAAATAAGAGATGTTTAAAGGGTAACCGTCATAGATACTTAAGTTAATTAATTACATCTGTCGGTAGGAGGTAGGAATATGCATGAATGTGAAAAAAAAAAATTACTCATCTAAGGTCCGCATGATGCTTCAACGGAGAGAAAGTGTTTATTGCTGAAGTTTTTATAAAGTTGTGAGACTTTTAATAAACGGATAGTCCAATATCTATGAGCCTTATCATACCCTCGCGAACTTTTAGAACTTTATATACGCCTTCACTGTTTAATGTATTATTATAACCTCATTTTTAGTTTATATACAATATGCGTATGTATATGGACGGGTAGGTGTTATTGTTTTCTGGATAAAGTTAAATATAACCAAGGCAAACAAAAATGTTTAAATATTAAATATAAATATACGTACTTAAAGATAAGTTTTATTTCTTTTGTTTTCTTCGTATCGTTATTATTATATCATGGTATTTGTAAACGGAATTTTTTAGACGCGAAAATAAATAGATTAATACTTTTATTTAAAAAGAATGGTAATAAATTTATTGTTGTTACTCTCGATAACTTATATATATCATAGCAAGTTTAATGAATAGTTTTGGTTCATTAAGCAATGCGATTTATAGGATAAGTAACCGGAAAAACATCTAGCTTGTTTTAAAACAAGATGTATACTAATGATACTTATAACAAAAATTTGAATTGTGCAAGTTAATATGAACATCCCTCGAGGTAACGTAGTTGTCTTTTCTGTTACACTTTAAACTATTTATACTACGATCAATTGCGTTTTCGTTTATTCTAATAAACAAAAAAAAAAAAAATTAAACAACAAAGGACATTCGTGGATTGATTTGTGTTTTAACTTATCTTAAATATTTTCAATTTAAAAACTTGATAAAATTAAAAATGTTATAATATTACGATTTATCTCAAAATATTCATAATAATAAATTCGATTGATCAAAATCCAAATACTTAATACGTAATAATTTATAATAAAATGTAGTTTAATTAATTTTAATTGGATACTAACAAAAAAAAAAAAAAATGTGATTTACAACATTTACCTATAAATTATAAAACGTTTTTTTTTTATTTATTACTTAAATACTTTCAAAAATTGATTTTTAAAGCATATCATTTTTCCGTGCTTATTAAACGTAATAATATTTATACTAGACTTATTTTGAAATATATATCAATAAAGCATTTATGCCATCATAAAAAGCATAAAACCAAGGGAATAGAGATTTTATGGTACTGTTAGAAAATTAATCAATTCTGTACAATATATATTTTCCTATTAACTTTATAGCCGATTACAAAATATTACTATAGAGACATAATAGTAGGCTTTATATATAAATATATATATGTAATCGTATGTATGTGTGTATATTCACTATAATATCTCTTGAATTTTATCTGAACGACTTCAAAGATAAATTTCGAATCAAATGGAATATGAAAAAGTCTGATAGGACTCTATTACTAAATGTATTGGATTACATGTGGTGCGGTAAGCGCCAAGGGGTGACATCTACTTCCCTCTAAACCACGCCTTTCCTTTTCGTAATTTGGTTTAAAGGCCGTCGCTTGGCGCAGTATTAGCAATTTTGTAATTAATAATAAAAATAAACTGTTGTTTATTAATATCTGCTACATATTCGGGACCAGCATAAACAACATGATAACGTTCTCCCAGAATTACCCATCCGCGGCCCGAAAGTGTTTTGCCTAACCATGCGAAATCTCCGGTATTTGTACACCTGACAATACGAAAACATAACCACCGTACCCATACACCGCCCATCTTGTAACTTCATGTAAACTACCGACCATCTTTAATGAGCACAAACATGCGTGACGAGGATTAACGGGGCATGGTCACAGAAAATGGGTTGCATGAGATGAAAAAATTCATCTAAGTTCCAGATAGTATTGCAGTTATTACCACAGTTTAAGTCTAGAATAACAACAATGTAATCCCTACAGCAAATTATTAAACATATAATAAATTACAACAACAGTTATCTGATTTCTCGATTATTGGTTGTCGTACCTGCAGTAAAAATTAATTTTAAATTAAATTAAAATAAATAAAATGTATTAAAAGAAAGTATTGCTTACAAAACGAGATGCTATATTTATACTTAAATTGTTGCATTTCCATTACGTTATATTTTGTGTTGTATGAAATTGTATGTAAATTCATACAAAATCATACAAAATGTCTACGAATATGTCCTTTTTTACATCATGATATAATGGTATAAGTTTGTATCCAATGTCATTATTATTATATCCAGTCTCAAATAAAGGATTAAGTACTGTTGTTTTACAAAAAAAAAACATTTCAAATAAACTGTATAACATACGAATATTAAAATATGCGATATAAAACAAAAACGTGTTTTTATTTTTAATTAAAAATATGATTTCATCAAAAAGTTTGTTTCAATCTAAGTATAACGTAATTTATCTTAAATGAACTGGGTCGATATTGAATGTGCTAGTCTAATGAAAATATCACGAAATGTAATATTGATGCGTTTAAACATGATATTAAAGGAAATTCGTAAAATAAACATCCTAATTTAAATATTATAGGTACAAATAAGTTCAAATAATATAATATATTACATATTTTTTTTTTTCAGAAAAGATTATTTATTTATAATAATAATTATTATTTAAAATTATATATAATCATTATACATGTATTGTAATTTTTTTTTTATATAATTTCATGTTTTAGTGTATATATAAATATAAATATTATCGTATTATATTTTTACTATCGATCAATATCAATAAAGAGACAAATTTTACATATTTTTAAGATCATTTTCTGGTGATTATTTTAGTATATTAATAGGTAAAATATAATATACTCCAACAGGTATATATACTTTATATAATGGACATTTGAATTGATTCCAGTCGCACAAATCATGAACGACGAGTATAGAATTAAATTACAACTGTTTGAATATTTAAATAAGAAGATCCCATTCGAAGCAATGTTATCATATGAAAAACGGCCTACAAATAATCTGGTCGACATCACTAGATTATTATTAAATTCAAAGCTATTACGCATTTCTGGGTAATTCGATTGCACTCAGTGAGATTCACAAAAAAAAAGGAAATATATACAGAGAGAGAAAGAGAGAGAGAAAGAGTAAAACGTAGTGATGAAAAATAAGGGTGAAAAGCTTGAAGAAGGGTGTAGTGGTGGAAGTGGTAGCAGTAGTGGTAGTTGTAGTAGGACGAAGAAGAGGACACTTCATTCACTGTGCATAGGGGAAATGTAGAGGACTTAAGCTTCTGACGACGATATATGCTATCGTTATGAAAAGTATACGTCAAAAGTCTAAAAGAACGGAGGCTTTTCATCGGCAACCACGTATCGAGCACAAACTACTGTCCGAGAAATATTTAGCCTACCTCCAATATATTTGTAGGTATATTGTACTGTAAGAAAGACGGATAAATAGTTTGAAACATATTAAACCCATAAAATATTTGTTTTATGGGCCATCAACATAATTAGTTGTATTCGTGGTTACTGGATTTAGAATTTTGACTCGCAAAGTGGTTTTTATTATTATTATTATTATTATTATTTGATTATATTACAACAATATCCTTCCGATATCGAAAACAAATGAATTCGCTAATTGCAGGAGTCATTAGCAAACTCGTTGGTATTATCAAAACGGTCGAAATACACATAATTTATTATTAACGAACGTTTCGTCGTCGTGCGATATGTTTCGTTAACATTGGAGATGTATTTTAATATCAGCGTAATTAAATTCACGTTTTTTCAAAAGATTTGAAAGGGGATACTAATATTTTGATACTGAAAAATAAAAAAATAATTTCCAGTACCCATTTGTAACGATGCGTTTTCATCGACAATACTGTAAGTTTTTGAATGAAAACGTTGACCAAATGAGTCTGAACAAATTGGTAATATTCAATAAAAGAGAAAGAGCAAGTAGACACTTGCAAGAGAGGCAAACAATTGAATTTGATATCATTGCACGGTAACAGGTCTTTGCCGCAGGAAAAGTTCGACTTGTCTTGTTAACCAATCGGTGGCGCGCGCACAAACGGGTAGTGTAGAGTAGAGGAAGGAGCTGTGGATCGCAAGTAATTTTTTCGCGCCGACAGGTGCCGCCGAAACGCGTCCGCGGAACACTATGATGAGCACGAGCGGTATCGCCGACCAATCGATTAGCCGCGACGTGTTCGGCGATCGGTTGCTAACGGACGCGACCGGTCGCGACCAACTCGGGCCGCGGTTGCGACCGCCGAAGGTTGTGAAAAGTGTTAGACGAAAACGTGTGAGCTTACCTGCAGGCACGAAGACGGCGAGAGCGCAAAACGCGACGGCGGCCATGGCGGCAAAGCTGCGGTCATCGGATCTGCGGCGGTTCCCAGGCGTACGCATGACGAGCGGAAACTAGACTGATGTGGCACGCGACGGTGCGCTTAACGCGACCACGATGATCCGCTATGACGAATACGGCGGTGGTGACGACCGGCTGCAGCTAATCGCGGTCGCTGCGACGTCCGGTCATCGTCCATGGCGATGCGACACGAGATTTGTTCGCTTACGGCCGCATGCACTGGCGTACGCGGTGACGGCGCGATATTGTTGTTCGGTCCAGGTAAGGAGAGACAAACAGTCAGAGAGATAGAGTGAGAGAGAGAGAAAACCGCACTCGGCGAAAACGCGAAGCCGACGTACGCGGAATCGCGACGAGAAAAACGATCGAACAGGATCCGCCGGTAAGTAAAACGATACGGGTTAATGTTTTCCTTTTTGAATTTTATTCTCCGCGTTGTTTCTCATTTGTTCCGTTGCTGTTTAACGCGGTACACGTACGGAGGACACTTGTGACACGCGCGCGCACACAACCGACTGCTACGGCGACGACGACGGCGGCAACGATGACGAGGTGTGTACCGCGACGCGGACGGTCTTCTATTGACTGCGGTGCCGAGCCAAACACGCACGGGCGCTCGTGATAGTTGACGCGGCGGCGGCGTCGTCGTCGTCGTCGTCCCGACCGCTACCAGCCCTTCCGCGATCGCGCCCTCCGCGGGCGCACCGTGGCGCGCCCTGGCGGGACGCGATTTCTCGCGGGGGAAAAACGTATTCCCTCCCCTTGACCACCCGCCGCAGTTTCGGTCCCGCGACCCCGCGCGCACGCATTATATCATACGCGTAATAACCGTACGCCCGCGGTGTTCTTTGTACGCGTACGGACGCGAACGACGAAGATAGAGTGTTCTTAGTCGTATGGTTTTCATCGCCGTCGCGCGATAATAATGTACGCGACGTTGAAGTATTTTTGCACGGCAAGTGGGCGCGACGGGACCGTGACTTCGTGGACTTTGAGCCAACGGTGACGGACACGGCCACGAGGGGAAGGATCAAAACTTTCTTTCGCCGACCGGAGTCGTTTTCCGTTTTCGGACCCTCTCTCCCGCAATCGTGTAATAATGTACAATTGAATACACTGGCGTTGTACACAATTAAACGCATACGTGGTGGTGAACGCGACCGTAAACGTCGACAACTTGGCGATGAAACGCGGACAGGTGTAACGACGAAATTGTACGGAAAACTTTTTCGGGACTTTATTACACGCGGCATCTCGCGCCACGTGGCCGCATCATTGTACATAATAAACCGTAATTGTACGTTATACACGTTGGCACACTTACCCCCCGGTACAACGGCGGCAGCCACGCTTCCGGTTTGATTCGTTTTTTGAATAGGACCGCGTGCCACTTGCGGCCCAAACTTTGTCGATCCCTATTCTGTTATTAAAGAGACCCACGGCGTACTGCTGTGTCAAATTTTACATGTGCCGATAATGTGAACGGCGGTCGAGATTCAGCTGCAGAACGGGACAATTTTATGGGGGGGGGGGGATCCAAGTGCACCGAAATCAGTGTCATCGTTGAAATTGATAGATTATCCAACAAAGATCGATGTAGCGTGACATTTCAAAATATTCAGTTTGCATTACATATATTGTGCGGTGCACACGAAAAGAATATATACAATACTTTTATTGACATGAAAATCTCATTGGAACACGCGGCTTATCAGAATAAAACAATTTTTCAACTTTTCCATAAAAACCAATCATGGTAAAATATTATATTACCAAGACAAATAGTCAAATAATTGTTTATATTTTTTGAATTATGAATTTGCAATTTTTAACAACTATACAGGAACAAAATTGTGGTGTATTTTCTTGCTGTAGTATTTATTCGAAACGTTCTGGAGGATACATATAAATTGAAAAATAGTACCGTTGGAATACCATCTGTGTTCGGTTGACAAGGTCACAAGAAACTTTTTGAGTACTTATACTACTCGAAAAAAGTATTGACCGATAAAGCACATATTATAGAATCAATAAATTTCTCACTGCATCACAATCCAGAATGTATACCTTACATCATGAAATTCAGCTGTATTCATAGAATTCGGGTACAAAAAAAAAAAAAAAAAACTTATCGCAAGAATATGTGACCAGTTTTTAGACTCTTGTGAGAAAAAAAAATGTTCTAATTTAAAGAAACCAATATACGTTGTTTATATGAACTCCCGCATATGCCTGTTTTCAGGTTAGGTTATAACCCAAGAATATCTATTAGTTCGATTAAATTAATTTAAAAAACAGACTTCATGTTCGATTTCGCTTGTATTATTACGAGGACGATTCATTTTTTATCAGTTTATTAATACAAATCGAATACTTTTAATAAGGTTTTTTAAACTTTGAAATCGATTTTACTGAAATTGCTAGTTGATGTCTGATTGAATAAGTACTGATTATGTTTATAAAAATAAAACTTGATAGCTGATTATTATTACAACGTGTACAATGAATGGTTTTGATTTATGTATTATTAAAGTTTTAAAACAAATTCGATAATTTTATTAATGTTCGAGACTTTTAGAGCAATTCTTAAGCAAATTTCGACCACTAACCATGAAAAAAACCCAGATCTATGTTAATAATTACACTTCACACACTCTATGTTGTTTTGCACGGATCGTTGAAAACGCAATAAAAGTTTAATAGCTTATACATGTATTTATTTGTCTAAATTAATAATTTTAGTAAAATATATTACCAATATATTCATACATAATTTATATTATTTATTTGAAGGATATAACCACAATTCTTAATAATCATCAAAAAACTTTTAACTATATTACTTTTTATTTTATATTTATTTTATTTATTTATTATTATTATACTTTATTTTTTAATTTTACCTTTTTCACTTTTGATTGTGCCAAATATTTAATAGCTCTTAAAATATCGATTACTTTCAACAGGTTTTGATAAAATGAACAGAATTCTAAATTAAAAGGAAGTATTTAATGGTTACAATAATTTGTATTTAAATATTAAATATTGTAACAATATAATTGTAGTAATAAAATGTGGTCTATACAAATCAATAATCATTGATTGTCGGATATGTACTAAAACTATTAACTATTATGTAAGTGCATTTAACGTTGAAGTAGAGTTATTAAATAAAAATTAAATTATTAACTTTTATACAAAGAATCATTAAACAATAGAATAACAAAAATAAAATACATTTTAAGTATTAAAAAAATAAAAATTAAAATATTTCCCTCCAATAATATATTAAATAAAAATATTTAAGTTATTTTATACATAAAATACTATTGTAAATTATTTTATAATACATTTTTTTTGAAATTTAGAGTCTCAACTCTTCGTATTATATATAAATCACATTTGTCATTTGTTCAGAAAGCATATAATAAATTATGTTCCGCTTTAAGACAAAATAGTAGATTCTACTCGTGTTTCAGTATTTGAGATAAAGATTTGTATTAAATTTTTTCTGAGGTTTTATCTTTATGAAAAACGTTTGTAATAAATTCTTTCGCGTAATACAAAATAAAATATGGATGATTTTTCTCGAAACCTGTATAGAAAAAAAAAATTACATCCATCGACTTATATATTATACTTATTTGTTAATTAATTTATGTTAAACTTCATAATTTTTTCATAACATTTTTTAATTAGTTAGTAAGCTCAAAATATTATTTTTATTTCCGTTAAGTAATGTATAATTCTTTCTCAGTATTTTATTTACAGTCAATTAGTGTTTTCACTGTAAACATTCTCTCTCTTCTAATTATTGAAAATTTCATACTTTTTTATGTCAGTTTTAAAAAGACACGTACATTTATTTTACATTTACATTATCAAACATTCAAAATTAAGAGGAGATATATTGTTTTTTTTTATATGATCTGAAATATAGTTAAACATTTACAGCTAGAAGTATTACACACTGTTTTAAAATTATTAAATGATTAGCGCTAAAGGTTTACAAAGTCTTTAATTTATTATAGAAAAAATAATTCTTTCAGAACTGTGTTTTTAACTGTCAAAAATCTCATTTTTTTAATTGGAGCCATTATAAATTACTGTTTTAGGAATAAAAAGCATTCTAATTACCCATTATGTTGACGATACGTTATACATTAAATTAATTTATATGAATATAAAATTATTATCATCTATAATATGAAAATATTAATAACTATAACTTTATAAATGGAAATTAATTTCCATTTCATTTTTACAGAGATAATATATATGTAAATTTGTGTTTTTGTTTAATAAAATGATGTATGGTATTTGCATACATGACACTATACATTATTCTAATTTATGAAATAATATATGATTTATTAATTATAAATCTCTTATATAATTTTCTTAACTCAAATCCAAACAAATTTTTAATCGGTTTTATCAAAAAATAGCAACACAAATAAGACAAAATAAAGAACAACATTTTGGACATATTGATTGATGTCGTAACGTATTATGTAGCTACAAATATACACACACACACACACATACACACACATACTGTCGCACATATTATATATAAATATATAAATTATATACTTTATATTCGATTTAAAAACACCAGTCAGTGTGACAAACGACCATCACTCAATGTCTATAAGAAATGAAATAGGTAAACAAAATGGATTCAGTATGAAATCTTTATGATTAGATTTATGTTGTATAAAATTAGGGGAAAAAATTGTTTCTGAAAAAGTTGACTGGAATACTGAATAAAATTCACATTTTTTTGTGCTTGAAACCATACAAAAATAGTTTCGAGAACGGTTTAAACAGTTGAAGACATTTTTTTCTTTTATCCATAACAAAGAAGGAGGAAAAAAGAAGAAAAAAGAGGCATGAAAATGCCAGCAATTGCACGTTTTAAAAATAGTCTACTCCGTATTCAACATTTTTTCTCCCGTACTGCATGTTTCCATGTTCCACATCGATACACATAGTGTTGATGTTAATCTTTCCCAGTTGCCGCAATCTATTCATTGTTTATTTATTTTCTTTATTGTATCGTTATTAATCCATTAGAGATGTTTTGAATTATATATTTCTTTTTCTTAGTTATACTGACCGACTTTTTTAATTAATAATCAATTTATAACTATAAAATAACTATTTATAACTATTGAAATTGTTATGTTTTCCAAATATTTTTTTCTAACTTTAATATTAATATTAATATACCTTTGGCAGACTATTAATATGTATTTTTATGAATATTATACTTTTATGAACTAAAACATAATGATTAATATACGTATTTCAATTACTGTGAACGAGAAAATTAAAATAAATAATAAAACGTTGTATGTTATTAATTTGTTAAAATTTAAGTATATTTGAACGTACAATAAGAATTTTTGATTTTTAATTTTTTTTTAGTAGTTCACTCTTTGATTTAGTGTTCTGAATCTTTATTTGATTTTGTTTATGAAGCTTAAATTAAGTCATTTACGTTTAATAGATTTCTAGAAATTTTATAAATTTCAGATTATCATTATCTTCATCAAACATTTAATTTCGTCATAAAAATCATATTAAAGATAACACAATTAA